GCGAAAGAACAAAAAAATGGAAACAAATAAAAACTTCAAAAATGTCGTGTGAAGAAAAAGGAAGAAGTATAAATTGATGATGTCTACCTCCAAAAATATGTGTTACGTACACAAATAAATATACTAAATCACACTCTTATCATTCCCTAAGAATCAGAGCTTTGTCTAATTAAATTTGAGGAAATGTACCGTAAATGTGTGTTACGATATTGATCCAGTGTAAGAGTGAGCAATGAACTTGGAGCAGGGAACCCTAAATCAGCAGCATTTTCTGTAATCATTGTCAACATTTATTCGTTAATCACATGTGTGGTCTTAGCCATTGTTACTTTGGCGTGCCGTGACGTTTTGAGTTATGCGTTCACTGAGGGTGAGAAAGTCTCTGCTGCGGTGTCTGACCTCTGTCCACTTCTTGCCGTAACGCTAGTCCTCAATGGAATCCAACCCGTCCTCTCCGGTAATTTTTTTATTTACATCGCAATTATACACAAATTGAAAAGAAAAAAAATCAAACAATTGGAAAATTTTCATTGAAGGTGTGGCGGTTGGATGCGGTTGGCAAACATATGTGGCAAAAGTTAATGTCGGATGTTACTACATTATTGGAATTCCTCTTGGAGCTCTCTTTGGGTTTTACTTCAAATTTGATGCCAAGGTAAGATATTGTTTTCCCTTTACATATAATACCATTTAATTGTTTTGTTACCCAATAATTCGTGTATTGATAATGAGAAGAGCTAATCGTAGCGTTTGTGTTGATTTTACAGGGTATATGGACGGGGATGATATGTGGTACGCTAATACAAACAGTTATTTTGGCATGGGTCACATTTAGAACAGATTGGACAAAAGAGGTAACTATATTCTCAACGTTTCAAGGGTTTTTTTTTCTGAACAACATAACGTTTCAACGGTTGCGTTTCTACGTGTGTACATCTATAGTATATTTCATTGGTTTCACACACTAAGAATAATGGGATATTATGTTTGTTCAGGTGGAAGAAGCTTCCAAAAGGTTGGACATATGGAGCAACAAAAAACTAGAAGTGGTACCCGAATGATGTAAGTCGATGTATGTTTGGTATCCAATGAACCGGATTAGATTCATCTGTTTAATGGAAACCGATGCAAAGACTCATGATAACCAGTGAGGTTGTAATATAGGACATGAATCCTCTGCAATTCGATTTAAGCTTTCTTTAAATTATTATGTGCTTGCTTAGGTACTGTATTTTGTATGCCAATTTAGATGGTTAATGCTTCATTATTAGTCTATCACTATAATTTTGCATATTCCTTTCTCCAGTATCCTATTGTCTTGGTTGGATTATAAAGATTTTAATTGATTGATGTTTGTTCTTAAGAATTGCTGCTTGGTATGATTTTGGTTTTAATTCTTAATTAAATATTGGTATTAAATAAAAGTCAATTTATATTTTAATCAATTTCTTTATTTTTCAGTTTGGTTTAATTCCAAATTCGATTAGATATACAAAACATAATATAAAGCATATTAAAATATTGTTTTATCCAGCGAATTAGACGAAATTAGTTTTGTTTTTTGTTTATAACTTTTTCCTGCAAATATATTTGTAAATTTTCTTTAGCCGCCAGCCTCCAAAAAAAAAAACCTGAACACTACACTACAACAGCCACACACATCCGTAGGCGAGAATCCCATAGTGATAACAAAAACAAAAAAATAC